TTTCAATTTTATTGTTTCTTGAAAGAAGCATTAACCCAGAATAGCGTGACAAAAGATGATCTCGGTGAACTTTACAAAGCCTTTGTGCAAGATTTGTTATACTTCGATCGTGAGTACAAGAAGCTTGATTCAGATGCTGTTCTTGGGTTGCGCGTAGCCGAAGGTACGGTAAGCATAGCGTAGGTTTAGGATGGTGTTTTATCGAACTATTAACAGGATAAACGTTGTTAAGCCTTTATTTGATCTAGGCGAGAAAGAAGAAAAGTCTTTTAACTTGGTTGGTTTGAACCACACTGCAGACTTGTTTTCGAAATATTTTGCTGGCTGCTGGTCGCTCCTGACAGCTGGGGTTTAAATGCACACACTTATGCATTTGTAAATTTAAAAATGGTAATAAAACACTTGTAAAAGTTAAATATTTAATTGACCTCAGTTCACAAGCCACTAAATAAAGGCAACGCCACGTAAACAAAATGGCCCGGGGGGGTACTGTCGATATATGGGCTATATAGGTATGTGCCGCTGTGAAGGGTATGGTTTTCAAGCAGTTTACCCTAGGATAGGGTATATAACTCAGAGCGTTTAGGTCTACAATAGGGTCTCATTTTTCAGGAAACTGATCAGTTGGTTGAAGATTTTATCTAGACTAGGGATTGTGGTATAAGGTTTTGTTTTGGCTAGACTGTGCTAGTGACTTCAGTAGTTTCTGGAATACAGCCACTCTAGGATAGGGGGAATAGCGGAGTTTACTCTAGTATAGGGTAGCAAAATTCGGCTGAACTAGTTCTGGTATAGGTTAAAGGTTCCAGGGTCCCAGCAGCACATCCCCACCCAGTTATTCCTAAAGTACCACCCCGGGAAAAATGGCCTGACCTCAACAGAGCAGTCATTCAGATCCACGAAAAAGTGTTTAGGAAAAAATAATGTCCTAAAGGGCTGAATTTTCTTAGGACATTTTTAGTTTTTGTCAGACATTATTTTGTTTTCTTATGACAGAATAAATGAAAATTAGATCCTTTCAAGATACTTTTAGTTTAAAAATACTTAAAAACAAATATACTTTTACATGTAAAAGGTCTAGGAGGCCTATTTCTGCCATTAATAGCATTGCCAATGCATGACTGCATTAAACTTGAATAATTATACTCTTTCAAGTTTGAAGTTTGTGTTTCCAGAATGAGGTGTGAAGATAATTATTTTGTTTTCCTCTTTCCTTACCTATTAAACATGGAGTGGATTTTAAAATTACAAACACAGCACAAAAGAAATGTGTTTGAACGTGCAACTTTCATAACAAAGAAAAATTGTCACAGGATATATTCTTATGTCAGCCAAACATACTCAAATAAACTGCGCTTCATTCTGTTGTTTTCTTGATCATAATCCAGCCACGAGTAGCTTTAAGCCATCGTGGCTGGAATTTTCGTTCAGCTTTGGCGACAATTTTTTTTGTTGGATCATTGACCAAATCTTCATGAGCAACTTTCACACTGCTTTCTTCGTTTGAAAAAATATGACATAGGTTTTTGGCTCTTTTCAGCCATAACTAAGTCCTTTCATTCTCATGGTTCGCTCGAAATAGAATCAAAGATGGCGCCTGCATTATAACGACACTCCTATGGGCTTTTGTCTGACCAATCGCATGCACTGTGAGATCTTTGTAAAATACATCCAAGATGGCAGAGGTTGCATTGTTCATTGTGCAAATTGTTGCTCAAACTAGGGATATTTTCGCTATATGGAAAATTGTACAAAATGTACCCATCTCTAACATTAATCTCTACCACAAGACACATTTATCTAGTATTTCATATTCTATTTTCATTTCGCACATTTGTCATAATTTGTTTGGACAAATGAAAATTGTCTCGGACTATGTCCAAAGACTGACGTGGATCTGAATCACTGAGAGAGGGGCTGTAAAAAGACCCACAAGCCCCTTCAACCCAATAATTAGGGTGCCCCCGCATATACCCGACAACAGACTGCTGCCCAGCTATGTCTCGAGCTTAACTTATATAGCCTAAATTTCATTTAGCCTCATAGTCTGATGGACAGCCCATCTGATAGGGTGCGATAAAAAATCAGAAATTGTGCCATAAGATAAGACTATTATGCAATAAATTATGCAATTTTTTCAGGGCTTATTAACATTGTTTTACCAGGTTTCAAAGTAGAAAAATCAATTTAATGTAAAAGAATAATAAAACATCTATTTTAAAACAAAATAATTAAATTTGTCCAATTTTCTTGACCCGGAAAAGAAAACAGTTAGAAAGGAAGAAAAAGGACACATGTTTAACATAATGACACCCTTACACCGCTGACCACACTGCTTATCTCTGAAATCAAAATGGCTACTCAGATACTCCCAACAAAGGTTTCAGATGTCTTGCAAGGCTTTCTTTAGTGGCAAATCACCTTAAATAACATTAAGATTGGGAAAATGTTTGATTAAAGTTAGAATTTATTATTTAGTTTACTTGAAGTTAACATTTTTTTTATGAATTATGCGATTTTCCTCAGATCGGATGCAATTTGAGGTCAATTGTGCGAAATTGTACCATCACAATATCAGAAGGCCTGCATAGATCCCAAGCGGGCAAGATGGGCCCATCTTACCCTCTCTGACTGAATTATCACACAACAGACCTTTCCTATTGCACAGTCTGCGCTGAAAATGACACCCAATTTCTGATTTTTTATCACACTCTATCAGAAGGCCCGATACAACTAAACAAGGACATCTCTGTCTTGCAGGCTACCTCAAGAGGTTACTTCAAGATGCAGAAAGAGGGAAAATTAAACTCAAACTAAACGTCTTCAATGATGTAGAAGATCTCCTACACAGAGTATCTAACATTCTAAAGAAGATTACTCCACTGGTCATGGAGAATGACCCACTCTTTTATCCTTTGCTTAACTCTCAGTGGACCTATTACAAACCGTATATGTATAGAGAACAAGACTATGATGAAGGGCAGAAAGATGAAGCCAATGCAGAAAGGTTTTCTCAATGTGTTAGAGAAATTACTGGGAGCCGGATTAGTAACAGTGACTTGTGTAC